TCAAGTATGTCTGTCTCTGTCTCTCAAGTATGTCTGTCTCTGTCTCTGTCTCTGTCTGAATACAGAGCTGTTTTATAAACTTGTAGTTTTATTTTACTAAAATTAAATCGTCACATTTTTTTTCTGAAAGTTCTAACAGTCTTGTTTATTGTTTTCTTTTATTTCACCTGTTCCTGTTATCATGAGCGCGTGCGTCACAACACACCTGTAGTTCCAGGTGTGTCCACCAGGTGGCAGCTAACATCTTCTTCAACTTCTTCTTTTATTGAATTAATTCATCTTTTTATTTATTGTTTGTTTTAAAAACAGCTCAGATTTTTTTGTTTTATTTATAATCTCAAAGATTTATTCACAGAAATGTTTTCTTCAATTTTTTTTATTTTAAAATTTGAAATCTGCAAAGATTTATTTACAAAAGTCAAAATTAGTGAATTTATAGAATTTTCTTTGTTGTCATTTTACAGAGTCCAACGAGACTGAGGAGCTAAGACTAAAATAAGATTAAACATTTGAATCAAGAATAAAACATAATATTACTATTAATAATAATTAGTAATTAATAATAATTATTATTAATAATAAACTCTGTTTGAAGAACTCAGTGATAGAAGCGTCAGAATACAAACTTTAATAATTATGTATATTTTAAATATGATTTTCTTTATTCGATCATTTTTCTTTTTGATTGAAATCTGCAATCTGTGATGGACTGGAGACATGTCCAGGTGTCCCCCGCCCCTCGCATGAAATGAAATGAATAAATATTTCTGGAGTTTTTCTGAATTCACCTTTCTTTGAACCTTTGACTTAAACTGGGTGAAGTTTTCAATTTGTCCACCAGAGGACAGCAGGAGGACAGCAGGAGGACAGCAGGTGGACAGCAGGAGGACAGCAGGTGAACAGCAGGAGGACAGCAGGAGGACAGCAGGTGGACAGCAGGAGGACAGCAGGTGGACAGCAGGAGGACAGCAGGAGGACAGCAGGTGGACAGCAGGTGGACAGCAGGAGGACAGCAGGTGGACAGCAAGAGGACAGCAGGAGGACAGCAGGTGGACAGCAGGAGGACATTCTGACATGAGGAACAAACTTGGACAAGTTAACATATTTTATAAACAGTTTGATTTTATTTTTTAACATTCATCTCGTGCAGCGTTACAGCTGGACCTTTGTTTTTGTAACTTGTAAACTTTTTGGATCATTTTACTTTATAATTATTTTGTCTCGTAAACATGGTGAGACTTCTGCATAGCTTTGAAAATCTCTTTTTAATCTTCAGCATTCAGTTTTAGCTTTATTTCCTTGTTTAGCTTTACTTTAGCTAATTTAAGCTTCAGTTGTGCTCATTTTAGCTTTTATTCAGATTAACTGCAACCTTCACTGTCAGCTTCTGTCACTCAGCAGGTTTAGGCAGTCATTCAGCACATTTAATCAGTTTTTCAGGCCATTTCAGCAGTTATTCAGCATGTTTTAGCAATCATTCAGCAGATTCAAGCAGTCATTCTGCACAATTTATCAATTATTCAGGCCATTTCAGTAGTTATTCAGCAGTTTCTTGCAGTCATTCAGCATGGTTCAGCAGTCATTCAGCATGGTTCAGCAGTCATTCAGCATGGTTCAGCAGTCATTCAGTATGGTTCAGTGGTATTTCAGCAGGTTCAAGCAGCCATTCAGCACATTTTGTCAGTTATTCAGGCTGTTTCAGCAGTCATTCAGCAGGGTTCAGCAGTCATTCAGCAAGTTTCAAGTCATTCAACAGGTTCAGCAGTCATTCAGCAGGGTTCAGCAGTCATTCAGCAGGGTTCAGCAGTCATTTAGCAAATTTAGACAGGTTTTATCAGCCAGCAGTCATTAAGCTCATTTCAGCAGTCAGGTTTTGTTAGGTAGCAGTCGTGTGTTTTCAACTCAGTCATACATTGAGCTAACAGTTTAGTAGCTAACAGTTTAGTAGCTAATAGCTAAAGCTGCTAATGTAGCTGAGAGTCTGAGCTCTGACAGGTCACATGACGTCTTTAATCCATCACGTGAAACAGGTATAATAATCTAAAACATTCTTTATGAAATATAGTTTTAATTTTAAATGAGCAAACCTTTTTGTTGTTGTTTGTTTGGATCAGAAGAATCTTTGAACTGGACTTCTGGATCCGATTCAGCAGAACTTTAACCTGAAGTGTTTAATCTGAATTATTATAAAAACTTTCAGTTTTTTAAAAAAAAGACAAAAAAAAACAACTGTTTTTATCTTTTATTCAACACAACAAAAACAAGCAGGGTTCAGCTGATTTTAGCTGATTTCAGCTGATTTTAGCTGATTTCAGCTGATTTCAGCTGATTTCAGCTCTTTGGCTCATTTCATGCAGAGTTTAACGTGCTGACCAGAAGTTCACATCTTCTGGTCCTTCTGGGTCAGAACCTTCTTACAGCAGGAGGTGAATTTTAGTGTCTTTCACTCAAACAGAACCAGAGAAGAAGGACTGGTCCAGAACCAGAACTCAGTCTGGGTTCTGACTGGTTTCAGTCTGGTTCAGGAGGAGTCCAGGGTCCGGTTCAGGATCCGGGTGTCTGCAGACTCTGTGCGGTCCTCGAACTCCTCCTCGGGGGAGTAGAGTCCAGGTTTGGACCCCATGACGCAGGCCTCCTCCTGGATGTTGACCCGCGGCTCCTCTGAGGTTCTGGACGGGATCAGCGGGGATCCTCGGAACACCGCGGGTCCTGAGGCCGGTCCGGGGCTGAAGGGGGACACGTACTGGGCCGCGGACCGGAGCTGGTACTGCTGCTGCAGGGCCACAGACCCCCACAGGGTCACGTCGTTGTGCACAAACGGGCCGGCGTGCGCGCGTGTGAGCGAGCTGCGCAGCATCAGGGGGTACCGACCCGGCTGGGGGAAGGACGGGTGCTGCAGCGGGACCCCCAGCGCCCCCGGGGACGGATCTGACCCAAACCGCAGGGAGTCCGGAACCCGGAAGGCTGAGCCCACAGACCACTTGTTGGAGGAGGAGCCCGGGTGGGGGTACGAGCCCAGACCTGGATCCAACAGGTGTCCATTCGGAGGCAGAACCAGACCTTCTGGGAGCGGGTCTATGTGAGGAGGTCCACTCCCGTCAGGGTTCCGGCTGGACAGCAGAACCTCAATGGCCCCCACCAGGTCCCCCCCACACCCCCGCAGAATCAGATCCAGCACCGGGGGCTTGTGAGACGGGAAGATCTTCTTTAGAACCTCCAGGGGGGGACGGTTGGTTCTGAGGCTGAGGGGGAGGCTGATGGACCCAGAGAGACCTTGGACCACCTGGTCCACAGGGGCGTACCGCTGAGGGGGACTCTCCACCTCCTTCTCTGAGCCACCAGTTCTGGGGGGGCGTCTCTCCTCCGGGTGAGATGAGGGTTCTGGGGGGTCCGGGGTGTAGCAGGAACCGGGTTTAGATCCTTCCGGGGAGCTGGCCGGATCCTGCTCCTTTTCACTGGAGCTGCCCCCGTTTTCTGGTCCAGAACCGTCTTCTGGACCGTCTGGACCGTCTGGACCGTCCTCCAGGGGTTCTGCAACACAAACAGCCCAAACTGAAGAACACCTGCATCTGATTGGG